CACAGTCCGACTCGGGGGCTTGGTCGCCCACCCTACGAGCCTGAGAAGTTATCAGAGGAACAGTATTCAGCGACATGGAAACGAGAGGTAATACTTTCATTCACGAATGTGCCCCTGCACCCACCACAGAGCCACAATTAGAGGATAGGGCACCCAACAAGAGACATGTTGCCGGTCTTGCCGGGGCCCCCAGGGGTGAGTCGTGAGTATATGCCCCACAATTGCCATCTTAAGAACCGTCAGTCCGTCGAGATCGGGTTCAACGATGAAAGGAGGATTGACAATAAAAGGGTCCCCTCGCTTGAGGCGTTGGGTACTACAGTTCTACGGGTGCAAGAGTATGCCTCCTCAAACACCCGGGCGTCAAAACAGAAAAAGTCTGAAAGAATAATCAAGACTGGCAAAAGGTCGGCAGGAAATGACAATTATAAAGGAGAAGAGGGGGGGAGAAAAATGAAACACAAGGAAAAGGAAAAGATTTCTGGCACAATTGGTGAAGACAGCAGCAGGAGCATAAGGCTTCAAAAGGACAGAGGATTGACTCAAGGATCATCACACTTCGGCAGCCGCCTACCAGGCCCCCCTTGAGGTTATTTTGAGATGATTTCGGGGCTTTAGTGTCCCCGCGGCCCGGTCCTCAACCAGGCCTCCACCCCCAGGAAGCAGCCTGTGACAGCTGACTAACTCCCAGGTACCTATTTTACTGCTAGGTAACAGGGGCATAGGGTGAAAGAAACTCTGCCCGTTGTTTCTCGCCGGCGCCTGGGATCGAACCCGGGACCACAGGATCACAAGTCCAGCGTGCTGTCCGCTCGACTGACCGGCTCCCTCACGACGACAACGGGCCAGAAAGGGAGGGGTGATTTTTTCAAGCTGGATTTTAAAGCTCAGCAAAACTTTGACATTTACGACTTCGGCGGGTAGGTGGTTCCATGAGTTTGTAACCCTGTGGGTGAAAGAGAATCTCCTGTTTTCAGTCCTATATTGCGGCTTGTTGAGCTTGAAACCGTAACTCCTTGTCTGCGCTACATCGGAACTTTTGAAGAAGTTATCCGGATCAACATCCTCTAAATTATTCAGTATTTTGAACGTTTCGTGTGTGTGTGTGTATTTTGAACGTTTCGAAAATAAATGTATGTTCACGGCCTACCACGTTTGTAAGACTTCATATGGGTGAAAATAGGCCTTCATAGAGGAGATAACATAGGCCTACATATAATAGATTCAATTAGAAACGTATTATAGAGAGAATATTATATTTATATATATATATATATATATATATATATATATATATATATATATATATATATATATATATATATATATATATATATATATATATATATATGCGCCGGCCAGGAGGGCAAGGAATATCAAAAGTGAGTATGGCGCATGTATAGGAGCTGACCCCGGCTAGTGAAAGTAGTCAGGGAGGTCATTACTGACCCCCTTTCCTGCCCCGCTATCTTCATATCCCCCCCATATCTATCTATCTATCTCTCTCTCTCTCTCTCTCTCTCTCTCTCTCTCTCTCTCTCTCTCTCTCTCATTGGTGGTGCAGTGATTCAACAGCCAATAGGAAACATGAAACGGAGGTTTGGCAGCAAGTTGTCAGGTTGTGAACATAGAAATAATCAAAAACCAAATACAAATCAAAGAGAAACAAACGATTACAAGGACACTAGGTCCCTTGTTAATGAAGGACTTGTTGTAATATATTGTGTGACGCTGATGTGAAGAGAAGTGTTTGTCTAGTTGATTCGTGATGTTATACATATATCACTTGACCACCTGCTGTCATATCACTTAATAGTGAAGTTAAGCGTTATCACAGGTAGTGGGGAAGGCACTGAGGGCCCAGGTAGTGGGATGGGGCCCTGTCACAGGTAGTGGGATGGGACCTGTCACAGGTAGTGGGATGGGACCTGTCACAGGTAGTGGGATGGAGCCTGTCACAGGTAGTGGGATGGGACCTGTCACAGGTAGTGGGATGGGACCTGTCACAGGTAGTGGGATGGAGCCTGTCACAGGTAGTGGGATGGGACCTGTCACAGGTAGTGGGATGGAGCCTGTCACAGGTAGTGGGATGGAGCCTGTCACAGGTAGTGGAATGGGGCCTGTCTCAGGTAGTGGGATGGGGCCCTGTCACAGGTAGTGGGATGGGGCCCCATCACAGGTAGTGGGGACGACAGGAGGACACAGGTAGTGGGACGGGGGTAGGGTAGACACCAGGTAGTGTAGAAGGGTGTAAAGGAAGCCCCCCCCCCCCTCACCCCTCAACCTCACTCCACAGGTGACCTCACCTGTGGAGTTCTCAGGTCACCTGCGTTTGTTCGCTTCTACCTCCCAACAAACAGACCATCTCACCAACAACACAAGAATAGAGACCACTGCTGAAGGACTTATAAGCGACTGGAACACACACAAACACACACACACACAAACACACACACACACACACACACACACACACACACACACACACACACACACACACACACACACACACACGACGAGGCTTGTCCCAGAGCTACGAGGGATGGGATATGAAGAGCGGCTGAAGGAACTGAACCTTACGACACTAGAGAAAAGAAGGGAGAGAGGAGATATGATAGGGACATATAAAATACTCAGGGGAATTGACAAAGTGGAAATAGATGAAATGTTCACACGTAATAATAACAGAACGAGGGGACATGGGTGGAAACTGGAAACTCAGATGAGTCACAGAGATGTTAGGAAGTTTTCTTTTAGCGTGAGAGTAGTAGAAAAATGGAATGCACTTGGGGAACAGGTTGTGGAAGCAAATACTATTCATAATTTTAAAACCAGGTATGATAGGGAAATGGGACAGGAGTCATTGCTGTAAACAACCGATGCTCGAAAGGCGGGATCCAAGAGTCAATGCTCGATCCTGCAAGCACATATAGGTGAGTACATATAGGTGAGTACACACACACACACACACACACACACACATCTGTACCCAATCATTCTCGCTGATATTCAGCAGCAATCTACGCTTAAAACAAGAACAACCACACACCCACGTCTACGCTCGCCCGCTAATCTCTTTCCTAAATAAAAAAACAAACTCACTTTCCAAACTAATGGTCTATCCAGGTGTTTTGTGAGTGTCGATATACACGCTGCGTGTATTGTTGTATGTTGCGTTGGTGTATACACCTTTCATAGGGGGTAGAAATAGCCTAAGCTACTCTATCACTTTGAGATGTATTTATTGCTTATCTCAGTAAACATACTTGAACTTGATACACCATTCAATAACATCTCATTTTTATCCATTTATATCCCTCCCCTCCAAAATTAGTTGATATCCTATTTGCTATACTCTACACTGTCATGTAATTGTGTTACTCTTACTCTTGGCTTTTGTAAAGGATGTTAACTAAGCTTTCTTAATCTCTCTTCACAAGGGAGCTTCTAATTCGTAGGATAAACGTGATCCCTTCCTATGAATCGGTTTACGGGCTATTCATGCCTGTGCCACCTCTTGGGTGGCTTAATCTTTATCAATCTATGAATCGGTCTGTCTTGATTCCCCAAAGCTTCCTAGCATTTACGTAAATAATGAAGAATTATGATGTATTTACTCACTATAATGTTGGTGCTCAATGACAATGACAAAAATGACACATTTTTACTCTTAAATAGCATCATTTGGACCCTGAATTAGATGGACCTCATCTAATTAGATGGACCTCATCTAATGAGATGGACCTCATCTAATGAGACGGACCTCATCTAATGAGACGGACCTCATCTAATGAGACGGACCTCATCTAATTAGATGGACCTCATCTAATTACATGGTCCTCATCTAATTAGATGGACCTCATGTAATTACATGGTCCTCATCTAATTAGATGGACCTCATGTAATTACATGGTCCTCATCTAATTAGATGGACCTCATGTAATTACATGGTCCTCATCTAATTAGATGGACCTCTAAGAACACGTTGAAGTAAACTAAAATTCCATTCTCTTAGTTCTAATAGAGTCTGGTCTCTGCTCTAAAATCTCCACTTTAGAGCAGAGACCCGACATTCATGCTCTGAAGGAGCTCTAACAAGACCAAGGTGAAGCTGTTAAACAAGATTCGGTCGTATAAGTAACGCTTCTGGATCCTGTGATCCTATTCTTTTGTTTTCCTTAATATTTCTTCAAGTTATGATTTATGGATTTTGTCACATTTAAATTTGGCAAATTATTCAGTGGTTTATTATTATTATTATTATTATTACTTACTTTACTTACTTAGGCGTAAAGCTCTATCTTGAGGTTATCTTGAGATGATTTCGGGGCTTAGCGTCCCTGCGGCCCGGTCCTCGATCAGGCCTCCTTTTTGTTACACATCCCCAGGAAGCAGCCCGTAGCAGCTGTCTAACTCCCAGGTACCTATTTACTGCTAGGTGAACAGGAGGCATCAGGGTGAAAAAAAACTGCCCATTTGTTTCCACCTCCACCGGGGATCGAACCCGGAGCCTCAGGACTACGAATTCGAAGCACTGTCCACTCAGCTCTCAGACCCCCTTTCTCTGACCATAGAAAGCAGCGATTAGCATCTCTCTACTTTCTCTCGACTAACACGTAAGCAAAAAAGGTCAAGCATCGTGACCTGACATCAGGAGAGGTCAAACCCGCTTATAAGAGGTGCTTGACCTGCTCCCTGACCTCAGAGACCCTCCGACCTCCGCTACGGACGGTGTATCTTCTCTCTCGACGACTGCAGGCGACGCCGAAGGGGGTACTCTACCCCACGACGAGTCATGGAGTAAGACAGTGTCGCTTCTAGGGGGTTATCGAGGTACTGGAGGCGATACGGAACACATTTGAAGCGATACTGAAGAGAGGTGGTGATCCAGCAGCGGCGAGAGGACGGGCTCACCATAGCCCGTGCTACTTGGAACATTTTGTTCCTGGTAGTGAATCTTAAACAACAACAAGCGGGGAGAGGCTGTACTCACCTTCAGCATGAAGAGCAGGTAATGCTCACTGCAAAAGTTGTCAAACAATATGTTTAATCTTTTTTTCTGTCTGTCATTCATTCTGTCTCTGTTTGCCTCATTACTGTCTAATTACTCGCTTACTCGCTAGGTAATTAATCTTAACTTCTTGATTTGATTATAATTTCGCAATTATAACTTTTTTCTCTTCATCCTCACAACTTTTTGTTCACATTTACATGTGGCAGTTTTGTCTCACATGTGGCAGTCTTGCCTCACATGTGGCAGTTTTGTCTCACATGTGGCAGTCTTGCCTCACATGTGGCAGTTTTGTCTCACATGTGGCAGTCTTGTCTCACATGTGGCAGTTTTGTCTCACATGTGGCAGTTTTGTCTCACGTGTGGCAGTTTTGTCTCACGTGTGGCAGTTTTGTCTCACATGTGGCAGTCTAGTATCACATGTGGCAGTTTTGTCTCACATGTGGCAGTCTTGTTTCACATGTGGCAGTTTTGTCTCACATGTGGCAGTCTAGTATCACATGTGGCAGTTTTGTCTCACATGTGGCAGTCTAGTATCACATGTGGCAGTTTTGTCTCACATGTGGCAGTCTTGTTTCACATGTGGCACTCTTGTCTCACATGTGGCAGTCTTGTCTCACATGTGGCAGTCTTGTTTCACATGTGGCACTCTTGTCTCACATGTGGCAGTTTTTGTCTCACATGTGGCAGTCTTGTCTCACATGTGGCAGTTTTGTCTCACATGTGGCAGTCTTGTCTCACATGTGGCAGTTTTGTCTCACATGTGGCAGTTTTGTCTCACGTGTGGCAGTTTTGTCTCACGTGTGGCAGTTTTGTCTCACATGTGGCAGTCTAGTATCACATGTGGCAGTTTTGTCTCACATGTGGCAGTGTTGCCTCACATATGGCAGTTTTGTCTCACATGTGGCAGTCTTGTTTCACATGTGGCACTCTTGTCTCACATGTGGCAGTCTTGTCTCACATGTGGCAGTCTTGTTTCACATGTGGCACTCTTGTCTCACATGTGGCAGTTTTGTCTCACATGTGGCAGTCTTGTCTCACATGTGGCAGTTTTGTCTCACATGTGGCAGTCTTGTCTCACATGTGGCAGTTTTGTCTCACATGTGGCAGTCTTGTCTCACATGTGGCAGTTTTGCCTCACATGTGGCAGTCTTGACTCACATGTGGCAGTTTTGCCTCACATGTGGCATTCTAGCCTCACATGTGGCAGTCTTGCCTCACATGTGGCAGTCTTGTCTCACACAAGATATACTTGTGTAGTATACTTGTGTAGAATTGACAGTATTTGGGTCGACGGATGTATAATGTTACGTAATACACTGCTTATGTTTCAGACTGTACCTGGCGGTGTTGGCGCTGCTAGTGGCGGATACAGCGGGACACAGGCTGAGATACATCCAGGAGCATGTAGATGTCCTGTGTCCCTGTGTCCAGGGGCGCCTGTGCCCACACTACTACGGGTCCTCGCCCCTTGACGTAATGAACTACGGCAACCTGTCGCCTTGTGTGTCCTACGGCCGCTTCCGCTGCTGCGACGACGCTGCCATCACCGACGCCTTGCGCCACGACGCTGCCATCACCGACGCCTTGCGCCAGGACGCTGCCATCACCGACGCCTTGCGCCACGACGCTGCCATCACCGACGCCTTGCGCCACGACGCTGCCATCACCGACGCCTTGCGCCAGGACGGCCACCAGGACTTAGAGGGCTTTGAGAGCGGCGCCTTTGGTGACACCATTCAGGTTATTGAAGGTGCTGGAAGTGTTGGTACTTCTGGAAGTGACATCAGTTCTGGAAGTGACATCAGTTCTGGAAGTGTCATCAGTTCTGGAAGTGATATCAGTTCTGGAAGTGACATCAATTCTGGAAGTGACATCAGTTCTGGAAGTGACATCAGTTCTGGAAGTGTCATCAGTTCTGGAAGTGATATCAGTTCTGGAAGTGACATCAGTTCTGGAAGTGACATCAGTTCTGGAAGTGACATCAGTTCTGGAAGTGTCATCAGTTCTGGAAGTGATATCAGTTCTGGAAGTGACATCAGTTCTGGAAGTGTCATCAGTTCTGGAAGTGATATCAGTTTTGGAAGTGACATCAGTTCTGGAAGTGACATCAGTTCTGGAAGTGACATCAGTTCTGGAAGAGACATCGGTTCTGGAAGTGTCATCAGTTCTGGAAGTGACATCAGTTCTGGAAGTGACATCAGTTCTGGAAGTGACATCACTTCTGGAAGTGACATCAGTTCTGGAAGTGTCATCAGTTCTGGAAGTGATATCAGTTTTGGAAGTGACATCAGTTCTGGAAGTGACATCAGTTCTGGAAGTGACATCAGTTCTGGAAGTGACAGTTCTGGAAGAGACATCGGTTCTGGAAGTGACATCAGTTCTGGAGGTGACATCAGCTCCGGAAGTGTCATCACTTCTGGAAGTGACATCAGTTCTGGAAGTGACATCAGTTCTGGAAGTGACATCAGTTCTGGAAGTGCCATCAGTTCTGGAAGTGCCATTATTTCTGGAAGTGACATCAGTTCTGGAAGTGTCATCACTTCTGGAAGTGACATCACTTCTGGAAGTGCCATTGTTTCTGGAAGTGACATCAGTTCTGGAAGTGTCATCACATCTGGAAGTGTCATCAGTTCTGGAAGTGACATCAGTTCTGGAAGTGACATCAGTTCTGGAAGTGACATCAGTTCTGGAAGTGACATCACTTCTGGAAGTGACATCAGTTCTGGAAGTGTCATCAGTTCTGGAAGTGACATGAGTTCTGGAAGTGACATGAGTTCTGGAAGTGACATCAGTTCTGGAAGTGACATCAGTTCTGGAAGTGACATCAGTTCTGGAAGTGACATCAATTCTGGAAGTGACATCAGTTCTGGAAGTGACATCAGTTCTGAAAGTGACATCAGTTCTGGAAGTGATACCAATTCTGGAAGTGACATCAATTCTGGAAGTGATATCAATTCTGGAAGTGACATCAGTTCTGGAAGTGACACCAGTTCTGGAAGTGACATCAGTTCTGGAAGTGACATCAGTTCTGGAAGTGACATCAGTTCTGGAGGTGACATCAGCTCCGGAAGTGTCATCACTTCTGGAAGTGACATCAGTTCTGGAAGTGACATCAGTTCTGGAAGTGACATCAGTTCTGGAAGTGCCATCAGTTCTGGAAGTGCCATTATTTCTGGAAGTGACATCAGTTCTGGAAGTGTCATCACTTCTGGAAGTGCCATTGTTTCTGGAAGTGACATCAGTTCTGGAAGTGTCATCACTTCTGGAAGTGACATCAGTTCTGGAAGTGACAGTTCTGGAAATGACATTGTTTCTGGAAGTGACATGAGTTCTGGAAGTGTCATCAGTTCTGGAAGTGACATTATTTCTGGAAGTGACATCAGTTCTGGAAGTGACATTATTTCTGGAAATGACATCAGTTCTGGAAGTGACATTATTTCTGGAAGTGGCATTATTTCTGGAAGTGACATCAGTTCTGAAAGTGACATCAGTTCTTTAAGTTTCTTTATTTCTGGAAGTGACATCAGTTCTGGAAGTGACTTTATTTCTGGAAGTGACTTTAGTTCTGGAAGTGATGTCAGTTCTTTAAGTGTCTTTATTTCTGGAAGTGACATCAGTTCAGAAAGTGATATTATTTCTGGAAGTGACATCAGTTCTGGAAGTGACATTATTTCTGGAAGTGACATCAGTTCTGGAAGTGACTTTATTCCTGGAAGTGACAACAGTTCTTTTAGTGTCTTTATTTCTGGAAGTGACATCAGTTCTGAAAGTGACATTATTTCTGGAAGTGACATCAGTTCTGGAAGTGACATTATTTCTGGAAGTGACATCAGTTCTGGAAGTGACATCAGTTCTGGAAGTGTCATCAGTTCTGGAAGTGACATCAGTACTGGAAGTGACATCAGTTCTGGAAGTGACATCAGTTCTGGAAGTGACATCAGTACTGGAAATGTCATCAGTTCTGTAAGTGACATTATTTCTGGAAGTGACATCAGTTCTGGAAGTGACATCAGTTCTGGAAGTGACATCAGTTCTGGAAGTGTCATCAGTTCTGGAAGTGACATTATTTCTGGAAGTGACATCAGTACTGGAAATGTCATCAGTTCTGTAAGTGACATTATTTCTGGAAGTGACATTATTTCTGGAAGTGACATCAGTTCTGGAAGTGACATCAGTACTGGAAATGTCATCATTTCTGTAAGTAGCATAAAATCTAATAATGGCTTCAGTCCTGGAAGTTGCATAAGTTTAGGAAATAGCCTCAATTCTGGAAGTGACATCAGTTCTGGAAGTGACATCAGTTCCGGAAGTGGCACGAGTTCCGGAAGTAATAAAAGCATCAATTATGGGGAAGAAATTAGCCCTGGAAGCGCCATTATCTCCCACAGCGACACCAGTGAAGGGATCGTGATTATTTTTGGAAGCCCACTAGGCTATGGAGACAGGCCCTCGGACAATGGGTCTTCCACCAGTGCTGTTTCAGGCCCTCAGGCCGATGGTGTGAATTCTTCCAACGATGAATCTGAACTGTCCGACGAGCCTGAGATTCAATGCATGGCCATCAGCCTGTGCAAGCGTCGCTATGGCTCGTCCATGGCTGATAGTCTGATCTACGGCTTCCTCTCCTTATGTCCGGTGAATCAGGTCCGGTGTCTTGACGGCGTGTCATCATCATCCCAGGATGATGAGAGGGCTAACTTTAGCAATCAGGATTCGGTGCTCAAACTGGCAGCCAGTCAGGATGTTCAACGATCTAGCGTCTTCGCCTATGGCCTTCGAAACAACACTCTTGGAACGGTTGAGATGAAGAGCCCTGACACAGTTGCCTCTCTTCCCGCCCAAAAGTTACGCTGGCAGCCATTTATCTTTGTCCGTAATGGCTTCCAGAATCTCCCACACCACCAGGCCCTCGGAGCCACACCTCTGCTACAGCACCAAGCCCTCGGAGCCACACCTGTGCCACACCACCAGGACCTCGGAGCCACACCTGTGCCACACCACCAGGCCCTCGGAGCCACACCTCTGCTACACCACCAGGCCCTCGGAGCCACACCTGTGCCACACCAGCAGGCCCTCGGAGCCACACCTCTGCTACACCACCAGGCCCTCGGAGCCACACCTGTGCCACACCACCAGGCCCTCGGAGCCACACCTCCGCCCATTAAGATCCCAGACCTACGGTTTCGGCACACCACAGTTGACAACACCAATCCACCAACATTCAGGTTTAAAAACCCTCTTAGATTTCCCATTGCGCTTTTGTTTCAATAAACTTTGGAAAGTCTGCTAGGAGAATTGATCTATAACGATGGCTTCAATGTTATCAATAGTGTTATTTTGTACTATTCATAACTACAAAAAAATGTATGAATGGTTAGTGCTCTTTTAATTAGCCTTTCATTGCACAATTCCTGCAGCTAAATGCCTCTGAAACTCACTGGGAAAATTTCCATTCTGATGTACTGGATAATGTGGAAAAAAAGTCTGAATTAACAAGCTGAAGTGACTTTAAGGCTCGCGTTGAGTCCTCCAGTACGCCCCAGAACCTTTACTGATCACTTGTTTGGTGGGGTTAGTAATTGGTATGTTCCAAACAGCACTGGAACCGCGCCTGGCACTGGGGCACCTACCCGAGGCAGCAGGTGGCACTGGAGGCACCTACCCGAGGCAGCAGGTGGCACTGGAGGCACCTACCCGAGGTAGCAGGTGGCACTGGACGCACCTCCCCGAGGCAGCAGGTGGCACTGGAGGCACCTACCCGAGGCAGCAGGTGGCACTGGGGCACCTACCCGAGGCAGCAGGTGGCACTGGGGCACCTACCCGAGGCAGCAGGTGGCACTGGGGCACCTACCCGAGGCAGCAGGTGGCACTGGAGCACCTACCCGAGGCAGCAGGTGGCACTGGAGCACCTACCCGAGGCAGCAGGTGGCACAGGACGCACCTACCCGAGGCAGCAGGTGGCACTGGAGGCACCTACCCGAGGCAGCAGGTGGCACTGGAGGCACCTACCCGAGGTAGCAGGTGGCACTGGACGCACCTACCCGAGGCAGCAGGTGGCACTGGAGGCACCTACCCGAGGCAGCAGGTGGCACTGGAGGCACCTACCCCAGGCAGCAGGTGGCACTGGGGCACCTACCCGAGGCAGCAGGTGGCACTGGGGCACCTACCCGAGGCAGCAGGTGGCACTGGAGCACCTACCCGAGGCAGCAGGTGGCACTGGAGGCACCTACCCGAGGCAGCAGGTGGCACTGGAGGCACCTACCCAAGGCAGCAGGTGGCACTGGGGCACCTACCCGAGGCAGCAGGTGGCACTGGGGCACCTACCCGAGGCAGCAGGTGGCACTGCGGCACCTACCCGAGGCAGCAGGTGACACAGGACGCACCTACCCGAGGTAGCAGGTGGCACTGGGGCACCTGCCCGAGGTAGCAGGTGGCACTGGGGCACCTACCCGAGGCAGCAGGTGGCACTGGGGCACCTACCCGAGGCAGCAGGTGGCACAGGACGCACCTACCCGAGGCAGCAGGTGGCACTGGGGCACCTACCCGAGGCAGCAGGTGGCACTGGACGCACCTACCCGAGGCAGCAGGTGACACTGGACGCACCTACCCGAGGCAGCAGGTGGCACTGGGGCACCTACCCGAGGCAGCAGGTGGCACTGGACGCACCTACCCGAGGCAGCAGGTGGCACTGGGGCACCTACCCGAGGCAGCAGGTGGCACTGGACGCACCTACCCGAGGCAGCAGGTGGCACTGGGGCACCTACCCGAGGCACACCATCAAAGCTCAAACGAATCACAACAAGACTTGTTAGCAGTGCGTCAAACACCATTAATAACGAAGCGTTTGTTTGTTTGTTGTTTGGTAAACACAAACAGCCCTCCCCCCCCCCACCCACCACTAACAACCGAAACCAGATTCAAAAGTGTTCAAAACACTTTTATTTGGATCTATTGTCTACTCAATTTTCACATATACAGTTGTGGATTATGTCTATTAAACGCTTCAGAAATACGCCATTGAAAACATCTTCATTGTCGGGAAGACTTTTATCATACCTGAAGCAATAAGAAGGTTATCTTGAGATGATTTCGGGGCTTTTTAGTGTCCCCGCGGCCCGGTCCTCGACCAGGCCTCCACCCCCAGGAAGCAGCCCGTGACAGCTGACTAACACCCAGGTACCTATTTTACTGCTAGGTAACAGGGGGCATAGGGTGAAAGAAACTCTGCCCATTGTTTCTCGCCGGCGCCTGGGATCGAACCCAGGACCACAGGATCACAAGTCCAGCGTGCTGTCCCCTCGGCCGACCGGCTCCCTTGGTGAAAATAAATAGGTTGAAAATAAATAAATTTATTTCAATAGGTTGGTGAAAATAAAACAAAATATATTTTTTTATAGTTTATTACTCTCTGAGGCGGTATGAACCCGCCAAACACACATCGAAACTACGACGTTGCTACAACGTTCGGACAGGATTTAACACCTAACAAGTTATAAGAACCAATATAACACGTTGTAACAACGTTCTAATACGTCAAAAACACGTTAAGCCAAGATGTAACAACTTTATTACAAGTAGTAACAAGCGGAAAATAGGGTCATTTATGGTTTGTGTTTCCAGGGAATTACTGGATGTCACTTAACTGCCACTACAAGTTGTCACTTGTTAATGATTAGCCAACAAGGCCAAGCTGCTTGTTCTTGAATAGGTAACAATTAGTGAAGTTAGAACAACTGTTGAAGAACAATTAGTATTAGTTATCCCAATTAGTGAAGTGATTTACTTGTATGGGCGTAACTATGCTACCTCGCACTCTGGCACTTAATGGCACCTTGGCATTAAGAGGCATAGGAACCAATCGTATTGGTGTATGCCTTTCTATTGGAGACTTTCAGCGCCGTGGAGAGGGGGGACCTGCTGCATGGGTAACAGCTTCTCCCCCGAATCAACCTACCCTGGCTTTGCGCCCTGGTGAGGGGGGGGGGACCTGCTGCATGGGTAACAGCTTCTCCCCCGAATCAACCTACCCTGGCTTTGCGCCCTGGTGAGACCACTCCAGACCAGGCCGACACCAGAGCGCAACTCCATAGTCTCCTGAGACCGATGGATGCCTAGTAATGGCACCTTGGCAGCAGGTGCTGAGTGCAACTAATGGCACCTTGGCAGCAGGTGCTGAGTGCAAGAGTACTCAAGGGTGTTGCTGATGATATAATGCTGACCACAGTTCACGCTACGGACAATATAATGTAGAATTCCCATCATTATTATTTTTCTACCCCAGACGTGGCCACATATTTACAGTGCTAACCAGCATGGTACACATTTTCTTCTGTCCTCAGGGGGGACAAGGTTAAACAGATCTGCTAAACATATTATGCAGTGATTGAAGTATATAAACACAGAAGGTGATGTCAGAAGGCGGAAGGTGATGTCAGTAGCAGTAGCCGACCAGCTCTGACACCGTACACACCTTTTGACAACACTCGGCCGATAGTCCCCTCTTGTGGCGGGGCTGAGTCTTAAGCATTTGGGCCGCCTCCTTCAGCGTCAAGAAAGCTCGCTGGGCCCCTGAGTCCTGCTCACCTGGCGGAGGAGGAGGATGAGGGCCCCTGGAGACGTAAGGAGGGCCCCTAGAGACGTAGGCAGGGTCCCTGGAGACGTAGGCAGGGCCCCTAGAGACGTAGGGAGGGCCCGGGACTGTAGGCTGGGGGAGGCGAAGACGTGGACCCCTCATATCCACCAACTCATCCGGCAACACATCCAACAGCTCGTTGGCCGGCTGCTCTGGCGTCCGTCTCTCATCAACTGAGGGACACAAAAGGCATACTGCGAGAGAAGTGAGGTATACCTACCTGTGAGAGAAGTGAGATATACCTCCCTGTGAGAGAAGTGAGGTATACCTCCCTGTGTGAGAGAGAGAGAGAGAGAGAGACAGCGCAGCGTGTCTTCCCTACTCACCAGGTTGTCCTGAACTACTTTTCATTGTTTTTTATGCGGCCCCAAAACTCATGCTATCTCCAGGCATCTATGCTGTTGATATGCCAAGAAATATTGCCGGAACAACCGTGGACATTTTCAAGAGGAAACTAGATTTATTCCTCCAAGGAGTGCCGGACCAACCGGGCTGTGGTGGGTATGTGGGCCTGCGGGCCGCTCCAAGCAACAGCCTGGTGGACCAAACTCTCACAAGTCGAGCCTGGCCTCGGGCCGGGCTTGGGGAGTAGAAGAACTCCCAGAACCCCATCAAGTAGGTATATGTGGGCCTGCGGGCCGCTCCAAGCAACAGCCTGGTGGACCAAACTCTCACAAGTCGAGCCTGGCCTCGGGCCGGGCTTGGGGAGTAGAAGAACTCCCAGAACCCCATCAACCAGGTATCAACCAGGTATATACACCTAGAGCAGTGCTAACCAGCACTAATTTTAGGGAGCCGGTCGGCCGAGCGGACAGCACACTGGACGGGTTCGATCCCAAGCGCCGGCGAGAAACAATGGGCAGAGTTTCTTTCACCCTATGCCCCTGTTACCTAGCAGTAAAATAGGTACCTGGGTGTTAGTCAGCTGTCACGGGCTGCTTCCTGGGGGTGGAGGCCTGGTCGAGGACCGGGCCGCGGGGACACTAAAAAGCTCCGAAATCATCTCAAGATAACCTCAAGATAACCTGCTCGTAGCCACGCGGCTACAAGCAGTTTCTACGGTTACCTCTCCAAGAAGACAGTGGCACTGCATTGGTTACACAACAGTGGCACTGCATTGTTTACACCACAGTGGCACTGCATTGTTTACACCACAGTGGCACTGCATTGTTTACACTACAGTGGCACTGCATTGGTTACACCACAGTGGCACTGCATTGGTCACACCACAGTGGCACTGCATTGGTTACATCAGACGAAGCAATCCTCTACAGAGAAGTCACAGGTGATGGGAAGGTCCCAGTGAAATTGCGAGAAAGCACATCAACAATACTCAAAAATATGTGTGTATGGACTTTTTTGGGGGGGAAGAACTTGAGAGGTAAGGCGTCCACAGCGACATAAATAGCGGTTAGATGCATTTAATGGAATAGAATTTTCCTAATAGTCTGCACAATTAAAATAGAACACAGTCTTGGCGCAACCCGTCCTCCTAATAGAACGTCGCATTTTGACGTACATACTCTCTACCTAAGACCAAAAATCGTCGTAGTAGAAAATGGAAACGGCGCGCGAAATTGACAGACTGTCTCCGTTTTCTGTTTTAGGTCTCCCAGGAAGATTAGTATAAGGACCCTATTTAGTACGACCATTTCCTGACGTTGGAAACCCTTAGGAGGACGAGTTGCTTAACGAGAGGGTTCAAGGGGGGCCTTACCTCGCCTGCCTCTGTAGTAGAGATAGTTATTGGTAGATCGGGGATTGTTGTAGACACCTTTGCACACCCTATTCAGCTTGTTGGCCAGTCTCCAGCCGCATAACCTACGTCCGGGTTCTCCTTCGGGGTGGGAGGTCGTGTAGGTATCCTGAGACGCCCCTGAAGACCCGAGGTCCAGCAGCGCCACCACCACCACCACTACCACCACCTGCAACCACCATCCAATTAAACCAAGAGGCTAAAACGTTAAATACAGGGATACAAGCCTTAACCCAGAAAATAAACAATGCGAAACATGTATATTCACTTGGTAATATATTGAATATTCTTGGATAATATTCATATTATCCATGTCTCATTCACTTGGGCCATGTAGGAGACTCGAACCTCGAAGCCCAAAAGTTGGAGATCAGTTGTATGTCTCTGAGACTCTCCAGTATTTGTAGGTGTTGGTTGGTTGATAGAGCGACAGTCTTCTGCTCTTGGGGGTCCCTGGTTCGAGCCTCCAATGGCCCCAAGTGAATCAGATGTTACTGTCCCCGTTTATTGTGGTTAATTACACACACACACACACACACACACACACACACACACACACACACACACACACACACACACACACACACACACACACACACACACACACACACACACACACACACACACACACACACACACACACACACACACACACACACACACACACACACACACACACACACACACACACACACACACACACACACACACACACACACACACACACACACACACACACACACACACAATATTACAGTTATACTGCTTATATTACACTACAAGTTGACGCCTTACATCTCCCCAGAAAGACGTAAACACAAAGACTCTACTTAAGACTCTACACAAAGACTCTACTTAAGACTCTACACAAAGACTCTACTTAAGACTCTACACAAAGACTCTACTCTACTTAAGACTCTACTTAAGAGCGCCGTCAACCACATACAGGAGCCTGCATGACTGGCCAGCAGATGTCAGGCCACCTATGAGGCCAGCTGGTCGAGGGGACGTGTGGCCAGGTGGGTGAGCTATGAAGACCAGCTGGATGACCTAGGGTGACCAGATGGATGAGCTAGCATGGCCAGGTGGATGGTCTAGCGAGTCTTACGGGCTATTCATGCCCGTGCCGCCTCTTGGGTGGCTTAATCTTCAGCAATCGTCTAGCGAGTCCTGGAGTCTTGTGAAGTTCTGAGAGATCCGACCTTGTGACTTCGCCTGTAAGAAAGAAAGAAGGAATTAACAGGATTATAAGCTGAAGAAATTGACAGTGAATGAAGAATAGAAGTTGTGAGTCCAGTGCATTCACACTGAATTCATTCACTCACAGAAGGGAGTCGGTCGGCCAAGCGGACAGCACGCTGGACTTGTGATCCTGTGGTCCCGGGTTCGATCCCAGGCGCCGGCGAGAAACAATGGGCAGAGTTTCTTTCACCCTATGCCCCTGTTACCTAGCAGTGAAATAGGTACCTGGGTGTTAGTCAGCTGTCACGGGCTGCTTCCTGGGGGTGGAGGCCTGGTCGAGGACCGGGCCGCGGGGACATTAAAAAGCCACGAAATCATCTCAAGATAACCTCAAGATCTCAAGATAACACTCGTCTTGTAAGAAGTAAACATCTGATTAGATACAAACAATAAGCCCAAGACTGAGCCACTAAGACACACTTAGCTCATCAAGGATACAGTCTTGAATAAGCTAATTGCATAGTTTAGTGAATAGATTCACATCATTTCACAACCAAATATGTTTAAGAACTGGACCATAACAATGTCTTGGCTAATCCCTTTACATTTGTAATGAGGTGAAGTGGACGTATACGGGCTCACCATAGCCCGTGCTACTTGCCCCGCTCCTGTGCCAGGTAAGTTACGGGCTCGCCATAGCCCGTGCTGCTTGGAACGTGTTCCGAGTAGCTGAATCTATAACAACAACAACAACAGGGACGTAAGGGGGAAGAAGGAATGGTGCCCAACCCCCTGGACGATCGGGGATTGAACGCAGACCCGCAAATCAGTGCGAGAACTATATATATTCACCTGGGAATCAGTGATACTATGACGATGGCTCGTGGAGCACTGCCTTAGAGAAGCGCTGGACACC